CTGTTATACAAAATAGAGGGGTTCAAAATGGTTCAAAAAACATTCTTGAAAAGTTCGGCTTGCTCCTCGCAAAGGCTCGTCCAGCCATCGCAGCGTGTTGTGGGAACCCACCTGAGCGAATGACCAACACGTGGCCCCGGCAGGGACGGAGTGGTCCGCAGAACGCCGCGGGGGACGCGATCATACAAGAACTCCTGGCATTACTACTATATAGTAACAAGAAGCTCTACTAGTAACAAGGGCATCGCTACTACTAACAAGGTCAGGAGCTATTCATAAGGCCAGGAGCTACTAGTAGCGTCCGAGCGCTCGGTTCTTAGCGATGCCCTTTGTTGCTAGTAGCATCCTCTCAGTCCAGAAGATTGTATGATAGGCTTCAACTGACCTGATATGATCTGATGATCTGATGTTTGCCTCATTCATTATATCCCATATTATCCCATATATCACATGTATGGCAGAAACAAACACATCGACATGTGGGACACCACCGTTGTTTCAGTGCTGACCATTGGACAGATCGAAACACCATTCGATTTGTTGGCTTGTGGAACTCTACATGTCCGACTCACGGAGAAAGTCGGAAAACCCACACACCCAGAATCTTCAGATATGTGATGATCGTTTGCGTTCGTGTCCGGATTCACAAGCAAACAAGCAAAGCTCAACCATTGGCACCCTTTTGGAAAAAAAAACATGACACCCTCCATGAATGGGTCAGCTCATCATTGTTTCTCAGATGGATGCCCTTGGCAAGCAAAAAAACGAAGCATTTGTTGGGGCGGGCGCGGGGCCGGTCTTGCAGCTGGCTTGTCTGGCCCATGGACATCGAAGGCCCTGAGCTTCCCAACCAAAGCATTGAGCTCTAGTAGCTCCCAGCTGGAGGGAGGCACCACCCTCAGCTTGCTGCCAAGTGATCGCCGTCCGGCTTTTTGGGGCGGTCCCATGGATGGGGACAGTCTGACAGTTGGTGGACGCCAAAGCGACGGGTCCAAAAACCCTCACACACCCGAACAAAGCCGCCGTCCGGCCCGAACCATGCTGTGGTGGACGGTGGAAAAAACAGATTCCGAAGAGACTTCGACCCGAGCTGAGGTCGTTTTAGGGGGGAGCAGTGGCTTCGCTCCCAGAGTTGATTGGATGGCTTCTGGATAGAACATGATATAACACGTCTGTGCACATGATGGGAACATTTGTTGTATGTTTACATATCTATTTGTTTATTATAATTTATAATAAGAGTTATCTTTGAGGCCCAACCGCACTCCAACCTGATGTCTTTGAGATCAGGAAGATGTTTTGACAGTTTTGGGACTTCCGGGTTGCTCAGTCTTCCACCTCAAAACAGAACGCTTGGACGTCTGGAGCGGAGCCCGTCACAGCGCTTTTTTGGAACGACTGCCGTCAAGTCTGATGGTCTAATTGTGAGTTCAACTGCACGCCAATCTGGGAGCCACCAGCGACGTCGTACGGCAACAAGTTCGTTCGAAGGAACCCTACCCGTGATTGACATCTGGTGCGTTTCATCCTTTGCTCTTGGCTGCTATGTGCATTGAACTATCAGGATACCATTCAAGCAAATGCTCCTTGTGCAGCTCGAGCTTCACCAAATATCCTCCCTCAACGTGGATGGCATCTGCAAATTCATAAAACATATGAAGTTCACGTTCACCTTTGACCAGAGTTCTGTGCCCAACTTGTGATAAAAGAAATTGCACCCCAATATCCCCCCAAACAACGCCTCAATGCCCCCCAAATGCCCCCCCCCATACGCACGTGGCGTCCCTCACACCGGTCATGAGCGCCACAACTTTTTGGGCCACGACGATCCATCGGTCCTTTCTTCGATTGGGTCACTGTGGGCGTCACAGAGTTCCCAAGCACCTGGCACTGGCCCACCTTCATTTAAGTTTTAGCCTATATTGCTGAACCATGCTGAACCTAACATCGAAAGTCCTGGATGAGGTATTTGCTTTGATCAGCACCTATACCTATAGTTCAACTCGTGGAGTGTGGTTCTTCCTCCGAAGGGCTTTTTTGAGGGAAGCGACAAACCGGCATGAGGAAAACAGCTCTGCTGTATACTCGTGCCAGTCCATCCCCCACGTGGGTTGTGTGAAAAACATACGGGAAATGGGTTGGGGCTCTGGGCACCGGAACATGTTGCCAGAGTGTGACAAACGTGTTGGGTATATCGCTATATCACGGCATATCCAGCGATGATGATTCACTTCGACGGAACAACATGAATGGCAGCAAATGCTCATTTCTTCAACCTCATGGCTTCGAGTGAGCCAAAGCCAAACCTTTAATATCCAGTGCCCCGATGGGCCTTCAAAAAGTATATGGTCTGCTGAACAAAGGCTCTAAGCCATCTCACCTGCATCGAAACGAGCTCTTTGCTCGTCCTGCAAGTGACTTCGACCGGTGCCAACCACGGGCTGTCGGGCCTGCATGGATTCAATGGAATCGTTGGACGGAGATTTCGGCCGTATTCAGATTGCCTGCATTCCAAGAACAGTGTATATACCTAGAACCTGAGTGATCCCTGTCTTGATTGGAACAAACCAAATTCCTTCTGGGTGGTTGGTGGTCCAAAATAGAGGCCATTCAGGTTCTAGGTACGAGTATGGAATTGCACAATGGCTCCTTAGTTTCCCCTACAAAAGGTTTGTCCACTTCCATGTTGAGTCAGAGTGTGCTATTTGTCCCCACCCTGTGATGAAACAGGTCTGTCTGACCAACAATGGCCTCATTAAACCCAAACAATCAGAAATCCATGACAGCCCTGTTCTTCCATGACATCAGGGGTTTTTTCATTGGAAACTGCGGTGGGTCGACCATGTCCATCCGACTCCGAAGCACCAGGTTTGTCATCTATCGAGCGCTCTGTTAGGCCTGGAGATGCCAGGAGACTGAGAAGAAAGAGCGAAGTAAAATAGCGCGACTTGCGGTCAGTTTCTCCATCTATCTTCACACAGCTCACTGGTCGACCGATCGATGCGCATGACTGTCTTTCGAAAGGCGGTCCACCCAATGTGCTCATCTTCTTACGCTTCGCTACATGTCCAGAAGAGTTGAAACATGTTCGATTCGCTAGATTCACCAAACACCGACGAGATCGGTCCACGAAACGGTCCGGTGGGAAGTCAAGAAGTGCTCCAGGCGGATGGTCCGAAGCGCAGGAGTTGCCCCGTCTCGTTGCAAGGAACAAATGGAACAACTGGATGAGTCACCCAATGGACCAGCTAGGTTTCAAAAACATAGGTTGTTATCTAAATTTAGTAGATTTAGCTAAATCGTAGTTCGACAAAGTTAAATATTAAGTAATAGTTAAAACTAATATATGTGTTCACCTTTTGTTCTAAAAAAATAACTGAGTTTCAAAAATTTAACTAAATCGTAAAATGTTAACTAACACTAGTGTTTTTCTTTTTAGGAGTTAACCGTTCGAAGTTTGTTTGAAAGATCGAAGGGTGCACTTCTAAGTTTACTTGAAACTTCGAAGGGTGCACTTCGAAGTTTACTCGAAGTTTCGAAGAAGTTTCTTCCAAGTTTGATCGAAATTTTGATTGCTCCCAGCTATGGAAGCCTTCAATTTCCAGACATTTTGTCGCGTGTTTTATTTTTATTGTTTAAAGAACATAGCTATATTCAATATTGTTCAAAAAAATAACGAAAACATAACTTAGCTATGTTCTAGGAATTTTACGTTTTAGTTAAACTTGTTGGAATTATCTATAAAAGTACTTTTTTAAAAGCCGGTCTTGGGCATGATGAGTCACAGTCATGTTCGGCCAATATATAGGACATTATAGGAACACACATTAATATTATAGGACCTGTAGTGTTCCACTTGAATTGGTTGATCCTGAAGGTTTCCGTTGCACAACTGGCTCCAGCTTCCTGTCTTCTCAGTACGATCAGTGCCATTGGGGGCCATTATGGCCGTAAGTCTCCCCTGGCCTGGGGGTGCGATACAAACCACAAAGAGGATGAGATCATGAACCATAGGGAAACAAAGTGTTTCAACAAAGCAACGGCCTTTTTAAGCTTTGTCTGAGTCTAAATCCTTTGAAGTCCATGTACTGTAGATACTACTATAGATACATACAGGTTGACAGGGGTCCTTCGGGCCAGGAGCAGGCATGGTTAAAATGATAAGCCTGAATTTCACGCCTGACTTGAAGGATCTGTTCAACACTGGAACTTTCTTGCAAAAAGCAGCCAAAATCGGACAGGTCAAAGGTCAGGCAGCCAACCAGGCACCAAAAAAGACAGTCCGTTCCAAGGCCATTTGTCATTGGTCCGATACCACAACTTGGGGTCTGAACGAACATCTCACCTTGAACAACCCATGAGGATGTGACCCGCGAGTGCCTTGCGTTCTTCTGTGCCGGCTGCGTTCTGACCCTGAGAGGTCACGATTCAAGGCAAAGATTGTGCCCGCTGCTCAGCGGAAGTCACTTTTCCGTGGTTGGAGCATCTCTCCTAGCTAATGAGTCTATGCCGCGTCTATGCCTGAATGCTGGTCAAATCCTTGCGACTGGCCATGTTCAGAACATGCTTCGGACTCTTTTGGAGTTGCAAGCAATCTGAAGAAATGGGTGTGTGGCGCGTGCCACACACATGTGTATCCCAAAGAGCCAACCCATACACTTCACCCGTGGTCATCCCAAGGCTCTGCGCCAGCTCTTTAAGACATCACAAAATGCCCAAATCGGATTAGGATTAAACACTTGAGTAGAAGCGACAATCCAGCACTGCCTCTCGTTCTCTGAAAGAACCGTGGCATACCATGTCAGGATCTGCGCAAAAGACTGATGTTCTTTGGCAGCATGTTGTCCATGGCTACCACTACAGCTCGTGTCCGTAATGCTTTCGCTTTGAAATTCCCCCATCGACTGACGGCCAAGCAAGCCTGTTCTATCACGCTTGGCATCCAGAACTTTCGGCTCCAGCTTGCCTCCGATCTCTGCGTAGCTTCCAGACCTCCGAAGTTAGACCTCAAGCTCTGAGTGACCCTCCGAATCCACCTCCAACCGACCGTCCTCCGACTGGCAGGGCGACTCCACCAGTGGCGGCCGAGGTCCGCGTGGCGCGGCCGCGGCCGCGGTCCGCGCGCGGGAGGCGGAGGTCCGCGGCCGCGCCTCGCGGCCGCGGAGCGGAAGGAGGGCACGAAGAGTGAGGCTGCTGAAGCCAAAGAGCAACATGACGGAGGCCAAGACTAGGCTACCTCGGTGTCAGCTAGAGACATATGAACGCAATCCAAACTTGATCTGGGTTTGGCTCAAAAGAAGGAAACTTATGTTATATGCAAAACATTGCAAAACTTGAAAAACTCGTGCAACAAAAAAGGCTATAGGAAACATGGTACCGTCCAAAACCTGCCGGATACTTGGTTCCTTTGAGTCGAGCTGCATAGAACAAAAAGCAATCTAAACAAATCATTGCACCGTAAAATCATCGTCCTGATTGGTCCCTCTGTGAGTTGCTCTGTCGAATATCCCACCAATCCAATCGCAAACAGCGATGACTTAACTGGACAAAGAATCCACTCTTGACTGAGACAGGTTGAAGGCCAAGCAGCACTTCTCACCTGTCTGAGAATCCAGGAAGGACATCGAAATCCAAAGGATGGCCAGGGCCCCCACGGCTGGCACCACCAAGACTGCTGCGGCCAAAGGGCGCCCCAAACACCGCAGCCGGCCCATGCCTTGCCGAAACCCGTGGATCGACCGAGCATTGGCCGTTCGCCTTTTGACAGGTCGACAGTAGCTTCTTGTTACTACTAGTAAGGCACCTGTTACTACTAGCGTGGCACTTGTTTCTACTAGCGAACCTTGTTCCTACAAATGATACCATCCTGCACCTTCCCAGGAGCGCTCTATCTGCAACCCCCAATATCCCCAATAGAGAGTCTAGCACGAAAAGGAGCCAAAGGACAGGCATATTACAGGTCTCCGCATAGACAGCATCCAAACATCAAGCACATCAGAGCCCTCTTCCCGTCCAAGTCTGGGGCCCTACTGGCCCTCTTGAGCCAACCAAACCACATCTAGAACCGTTGGATCAAACCTAGATCCACATCCGTACCACCATCCGCACCGACGGTCGCGGTCGCTCTGTCGGGATACCCAGGTAGCAGGCGGCCATGACGCTCCAGGCCGATGCCAGGGCTAAAACGGCCAGCTTGGCCCACGGCGCGAGGGCTCCTCAAGCGGGCGACATCGATGTGGGGAACAAGCCTGGGCCACCTGGGTGTGTGTAGGATGTGTTTGGGCAATTCGTGTGCTCCAATAGATGGTTTTTTGAGTGGTCTTTCATTATTGCTGCTGGTCATTGGTGCATGTTCTCTTTTTGGCTGGTCTCCTTGCGTTTCAATGGATGATGTCTTTGCGTCCCAAGATGAAATTTTGCATGTCTCAAGAAACTGCTAGCTTGGAGATGTGTGGAGGGGGGCTCAGATTGACAGTGCAAACGTGGGTTCGTGTTGGTGGAGACTTTAGACATCGACCATATCCAGTGCGGGTGATCATCCAAGAGCCCTCCCGTGGTTGATTGTCATCAGTTGCTGCAGTTGAATTGGTCAAGCCAAACAAGTAGGACTCCAGTGACTCCAGTGACACCTAAGAAAGGACACGTCGGACATCCCCCCCAAAAAAGGGCCCCAACAATCCCCAACATGTTTTGCTTCATCTTCTTTCTCCATCGAAGATGAACACCATTTTCACCCTCGCCCTTGCCGCGGCGCGGAGGGCGGCGTCCAAGGAGTCATGGGAGGCCATGGCGGGCAGTCGCTCGATGAGCATCGGACAGGTCGAGGCGACCGCCACCTGCCGCCGTTTGCCGTGGCGCGGGCGCTCCGTTTCGGGCGCCGTCTGTCCGTGAGTTGGCACCAGTCTTAAGAAATAAACGTGTTGTATAGTTACAGTTGTGGTGATCCCAAAAATCCATCGACCACTAGACCACAGCTAGTGTAGACTCTTCATTAAACCCCCCATATAAAGAGCTTTCTCAATCAAAATGGGGGGTGTCATTCATCAAGAGTTAATTACCAGCCGAGCTGCATGAAACGGATATTTGGAAGTGAGTAAGGATCGCTTCGTGTCTTGCACTCGATGTCGAAGTCGATCTTTCACGAGGGAATCAAAGGCCAAGGTGCTGCCAAACCATTCCTCTTGGATTTGCTTCAGGAACTGAAAGAATAACTACATGTTTTGCTGTATAGCCCTTGTTCGGCTCCAGCCACATGCTCAGAAGGTAGTTGGAAAACCCAAATCAACTCCCACCATCTTCTCTGGAGGTAGCTGGAGCCCTAGGGTAGATTCCAGACCTAAAGGGGATTCACTGGGGAAAACAAAAAACCACTCTGCAATGCCAGGATTCCCGGAGTTGCTGCAGAACCAATTCACGATCACATGGTATGACCCGGCCAGTGCTCGGATCCAAGTGCTTTAACGAGCAACAGGAACCTGCTGGGGCTCCAACAATCCCAACCATCCCCTTTTGAAAGATCACCCTTATGGGTACATTCTATATCAGGAGCCCCCCAAGCCAAAGGGATACCACTCCAAAGCCAAAAAAAGCAGCAGGATCATCCCATGGGAGTGAAAGAACAAAGCTATAGGAATTCCAGCTAGAACGGTGGAGTCTTAAATGCACAATCCCAGGATCTTCGGGAGGTCATCGTTGATCATGTTTGTGTCCCATGAACTGGGATGCACACTGGGTGAGGGATGTCTTGGTCTCCATTGTGTGGAAGTTATCGCCGAGGTTCTTCCCTTAACAAAAATCATCAGCGAAAAGACACCTGAAATCCTGTAGATCCCTGTAGATCCTGTAAGTTCTTTGGTGATCAAGGCCCATAGGCTCCGTCAAACGATGCCAAAGGGCCTGCACATTAGGCCCGTGATTTGCGTACTATGTGCAGCTTGCTTTGCTGCAAAAAATATGCCCTTGACCAACTTTCTTCTGTGACTCAACCAGTAGGCCTTAAGAAGGAGAATGAGCAGGCATAAGTGTCGTTACAAAGGGCATGGATTCCTCAGCAAATTCAAGTAGATGCTGCTAATTGGTAGCTGTTGAAGATATCTCTCGAAATTGTACCAACTAGTTCTGGTGTTGAACACTTGGACGGGTGAACAACCTAGAGCAACTGGTGCTCTTACGGTACAATGATCAAACCAATCGCAATCACCAAACATATAGGCAATAGGAGCAACCTAACCCTGTAGAAAAAATAGACTCTTAAATTCAAAAAACAGTGTTTGGACATACAATGGCATACACAATGCCAAAAGAACATGCCTTACTGTGGACAACAAAGAACCAAATATATGTTTCACTCACAACCAGGATTTGTTCCTGGACATTGTATCTTGTGTGTATATATTAATGTATATATATATACATATGATTTACTGCTTCTTTTGCCATGTGCAATGTACCAACTTCACACAAAGAACAAAACCCCAAAGCCGAAGCGTAGGTTTGGGGGAATCTCTCTCCCCGGGCTCCAACTAACCCTAAGATGGCGGGACGTTTCTTAGTGTCACCCCAGCCACAGTGCCGTTTGAGCCAATGCCTGTCCAGGCCACATTCGGCCTTTTCAATGTTGAAGGACTCCAACTGCTCAATCAGCTGTCCCAAATCTTCTGCGAGTCCAACGCCTGCATAGATCATGATCCTGCACGTCCCACCAATCCCAAGCACCGTCCGGATCCCCGGTGGAGCATGGAGCATCGCTGCGAGGCGAAGGCCGTGGGCCGGGGCTTTAGGTCCATTTGTCATGAAGAAATCAGAGTGTCAACAACGCAGAGTCACCAATTTTTGATAGAGAGTCTCCAACCACTGGGTTTAAGTTGATTTCCCCTCTTGCTGGCCTTTGAAAGGTCTCCCTATTCCAACAAACAGTACGTAGAGTAGAACCTCAAACTCAGCAACTGTTTAGAGGATTTGACAGGTGGATATCAACTGCATGTTAACAAGCCTCGCCAACACTCAGGCACCGTGCTCTGTGAGATTTGATTTGATTGTACAGATGGCAAGCTTTATTTCTGAAAAGCATTCGACAATCATGCAGATTCAACAAGCTGAACACCTGGCAACTTTTAGCAAGTCAGTCTCTCCAAAACGTCGCAATACCAAAAAGGCGGCTCCAGTAGAGCAGAACGAAGAGGATTTCCACCACCACCAAGACGGGCGCAGACATCTCTCCGCGGACCAGAATCACGTTCGATAATTGGATGCCCTGACCCGACGAGAGGTGATGAGCGAGAGGAGAACCCGACGCGACGCCCTCGCGTCGTTCGATTGCTGTCTGTTCGCACAAGAAGCTCTTGCAAAGATAAGCTGTTCATAGAAGAACAAGTGAACGCTTCTTTTCTATATACTTGTTCTTCCATGTTCGGAACATAGATACATTAGATAGAGGGAATCTGTGAGCAACTTTAATCCGATCTGGATGTCACGTGGTGTCACTCAGTCTTGCAAGTCGGTTGCGTTAGGGAAGTAGTTTGGCGGCATCGCGGTCTTCAGAAAACGCAAATTGATCAACGTTTGGACGTTGCTATAGTCTTTACAAAGAGATGCAACGGAAATTTCCCTGAAGGTCTGAGAGACCAAATTCTTGGTTGTCCTTCTCCTCCCCCTGTCCTTACAAGTTTCAGTTGAAAGATAGAATGCATGTTCCACCAATGCATCATATCCAGATACTTCTCCACATACTTATCCATCCCGCCAAGAATGATGCTAGAAGCTGTGACCCTGTGAACCGGCGGCTTGGACCTTTGGACGTGTCCTTGGAATAAGGGTCGAGGGGTCGGTGCCTACCAGCAGTCACGTTCGACGGGGTGCTATCCATGGAGGAAGTCGGGGTGCCCTGCTACTCCACTCACGTAAGGGGACTAAACACCACCCCGACATGTGACTCCTGGTATATTTGATTTTACACTTGAGGGTATCCCCTCTGATCCCCTCCCGCAATCAGCCAACCCATAGTAAGAGGCCAACTATGGCGGGACAGCGCGTGATGCTGGAACAAAGCGTGTGGGGCCATCCCCTGGCCATTCAACGGGGTTTTGCCAAAACTGCCAGTCGAGGTGAACGGCGAGTTCAACAGCCATTAAACACACACGTTCTGAAGTGTTGAGATTCTCAGGTCCTGAGTCACGATGACTAAGAGGAAGTAGAGCATAGAGAGCCTCACCGGCATCATTTCGATGGGCTTCTCCCGATCATGTCTCAAGAAGGTGGCAATCTCGAAGGCGCACCAAAGCCGGGTGAAGACTCGTCGTGACCAAAGAATCGTAAGAGAGTCCGAATGATCCAGAAAGCTCGCCAATCCAAAAATGCCTTTCCTCTTCATCTCCTGTCGAGACACTCGAGATACTCGAACCAGGCAAAGAACGAACTCATGAAACATTGAGACTATGGCCAGGCTTGCCTTTGCATTCACTCATTCCACATTGAACTGGCACCATTTGCAAAAGAATCCAAGATTACGTCAAATACCATTTCAACCATGCAACATCCAAAGAATTACAATATGTTCCCATAAACATCATAAACCACTCACTTAGAAGGCCAGATCACCACTCTTTTGTAACCTTTCCAAATTTCAGGTGACCCTAAGAATTGGGGCCCATGATACACTGCTGCGAAGATGTTGGAACCAAGGGATTTATCAGGCAGGAGTCAGTTGTGTTCTATCACCTCCCATTTGTGTTGGACTCAAATGAGCAAAACTGTTGTCCACATCTTCCGAAGTCCTCATCATGCTGCGCGATGCAGAGTTTATCCAAGAAGACCATCTTCGGACGAAAGAGCCCGGCCCTGATCCGCTGCCAAATGCAAATCACCACCCAAAAGCTGATGACTCCCAGGCTGGATCGAAGCAACACTTCGATGCGCGGGAACGGCGTGTCGTGTAGTCCGGAGAACGAGAACAGAATTCCAAGGAGGATGCTCACAATGGCCGTCGCACATGAAGCGGCTGCCTGAGTCAACTAAGAGAGGTCGGGCTTCGGATTGCGGCTTCTCTACTTCCAAAGTTTGGCTCAGCAAACTGCAAGGCTGACAAAACTAAAACACGCTACCAAAAGCTGATCAAAAGATATCAAAAGGGATTGACCAAATCCTGACTCGAGATAAGCTCTGTTCTCAGTCTCACGGTCGTGGTGTCGGTGTGTATGTGTGTGTGTACCCCTTAGATTGACAGGGGGACTTGTCGTTATGAAGGGGCACAGGCCCATCATGGATACCTGAGCCAACGAAGCTATTCCACGATGGGGGCGGGGATTGATCACCTCCATGTACCTGCGTTAGTAGATACATTCCACTCCAACTGGCCGGCTGGTGTTAGGTACCTCAGGTCTGCAAAGACGCAGTTGTTGTTTTCCTTTGCAGCTTGCGACATGCGTTTGGAGACTTGCACAGTTGGCCGTTGGAGGTTTCATGGTTACACCGCTTTTTTACAATATGACCCCTGGAGTCTTAGGTTTCTCACCCAGGTCGGCGCATGGGATGCGGCATTCATGTTGTACGTACCTTTGTCCTGTGTCTGTGTGATTGTGTGGGGTGGGCGACTTTGCTGGCTGTCGGGCTGGCTGCATGAATCCACCTGCTACTCATGTCATGTTGCGGTGTGGGGCCCCGCAGGGCCCCTCAGGGCCCCTCAGGGCGCACAGAAGGGCGCTCTGGATTTCCACCCTCACATGTCTCACTCGGTTGCAGCGTTCCCGCTGCGATCTCATTGGAAGTGGTCGTGTAACTCACGCACGAGTCAGACGTCGTCGACACCGAAAACGGACGGATCGTTGGACACCGAGTTTTCTCGTCGTTGGGCGCCGTGTCTGAACAATGAAGTCTGCCACGGTCAGAAATGGTGAAGAGATCGTAGGAAGGAAAACCGCACGGTCAGAAGAGCTTGAGCTCGTGTCCCTGTGCACCGATTCGGGATACACACACAAGACAAGGACTTCAAATGAGTACATAGTACTTAGTACATCTAAGGCTTGTTGTGGGGCTTGTGTGTAGACGTGAGACATTGGCCTACTGCGTGGCTTCGAGCTTCCGGGCCTTCTACACCCAACGTTCTTCAACCTCATCCAACTTGATCCATTTGAATACCCGCACATGCTTAAACCGTCTTCAAGTTACACTGTTGAGAAGCATGTACATATAGCCACAAAAAAATAACAACAACATACAACAACATAATCATTACGCTGAACAGAACCCAAACAAGAAGGCCCAGTGAACTTCCCAGAGCTACATTCTTCAACCGCTCGGAGTGTGTCCAAGTGACACTATTGAAGATCATCAGGAGCGCCAAAAGTTTTAACCATCTTGAGGTCTTCCAGTCGTGGCTGATGAAGGTCTCCAAGCCTTTGCTTCTTCTCAAAACGACCGTGCATTGGTTCATCTATTCGTCCCATGAGACAAGAGTCTTCCGGTGTTGGGCTACGTACAGCCATTTTGGTGTCCCTCAGACCAAACCACCGAAGCCGAGGAACGCTTCACTGGCCGGCTGAGGCTGTAGCAGTCTTTCTCGACATTGAACATGCCCTGCGGAGCGCGCCCCACCCCAGGCCCCCACTGTCTGGTGCTGTCGTCGCAGCACCAGGTTTGTGCGGGGCATTCCAGAGACGAAAGCCCGTCACGTGTGAGACTTTCTTAGACTCTAGGTTGAAATTGGTTCCTCATGCTCAGTCACTTAGTCGAACAATTGAACCAACAAAGACAACTCGTATACTGATGTACATGCCCGGCACCTATCGCAAAAAGCAAAAATAACTCCAACTTATAAAAAGCTCCGAACAAAAACAGCATCCAAGGACAAAAACAAACAAAAATAACATAAGCAAACCTTGTTTTTGCATCGCTTTGCCTAAGGTTTCAATGCTGGCAGTGCAGTCAAGCAATAATACAAAAAGGCAAACAAAAACAAAGAACAGAACTGAGAACATCTGAGAACAACACTGATTATTAACAAAATAGAAAACAACCAAACTGCCACATCCTCGTCTAAAAGCCTCGCCTCATCTGGTGGCTTCAAGTGTGCCCCAAAGCGGCTCAGAAGAAGGTCCAATCGGACGCCATGCAGCAGTTCTGCTTCTAAAGGCACTGACAACTCAGTGCCTGGCCCCGCGCCGGCTCGCGGCTCGCCGGCTCGATCGTCGGGGGGTGGGTCGAGCCGGCAACCGGCTCCAGGCAGAGCACAGAGGGTTCCAGGAACTGGATCTTCACAGTGTTGGTTGATCTTGTATTGAAAAGACCGACAAATGATTGCAAAAAAAGAGTGAAAGGAAGGCAAATGATAGTGCAAAGGAGTACAAATGAGCGGAAATGCGCCGAGGACGCCTTGGGAGGACTCTTAAGGATAGAACTATAGCTGAATCTGGCGACAGGGCCGACATACCTGGATCCACCAGGTGATTCCACTGGACATTGGAGCCTCTACCAAAAACTTGGGCCCCCAGGTGATGGAGTTGACATTCACATCAATCAGCGGCAAGAAAATCACCAGGTGATACGGTGATACTCTGATCCGCAAGACAGTCCGCAAGACAGGTGGTTCAGCAGTATCGAAGGAACATCGAACACTTTGCCCCGCGAACAAGGATACAATCGGATACATGTAAGACACACGCGCTGTGAAGCGCTCTGAGGTTGGAGGCCATCGCTCTTACAAGTACATGTAAAAAGACAAGTGGCACTTGAGTGCAACGAGGATGCGTCACCCCCAGAACAAAAAAACGTTGGAACGAGCGATCCCCCGGGACGAGAATACCCGACGATTCTGCCGTGTCCAAAGGTGCAATGGTTGGGGCCCTTGCGTATTCTGCGATCAAGATTCTGCAGGACAAGGGTGGAACTTCTGTGGAGTTTCTGTGCGATCGAGTGGAGTTTCTGTACCTATATATATCTGTACTTCTGCTGGACAGTTCCAGGTGGAACCCTTCTCAAACCGCAGGACTTGGCCACCCGATGTTCGGCATCCGTGGGATGACGCAAAGACGTCGCGCCCGTCATGGACCGTGCGTGCAGCAGGTGACCAGGTCATCCAAACACGAACGATGAAGAAACATTTTCTCGTCGTATCCTGCACGTCTTTGGAATTATCGTCTGAATTTTCTTTGGAACCTTACCTTTCAGGACCTTTCATCTTCCCCGTCAATGAAAGTGATCCGAAGTGCCACCCGACTCTCGATCTTTCAACTCAAAACACCATGCATCTTCTGAAGCAGCTTCCCAGCCTGTACTGCAGATAGTGGGGATGCGACCCACACTCCGGCAGGTGGATCCATCATGGGATATTGCGGATCCTACAAATCTGAAAATCCGACTGTTACTCTTTGGATCTTACATCAGATCTCACCCACAGCCACGTGGAAGTCATGGGACCCTCGTTGAAATAATGACTTCTTTTTTGGAGGGTCAAAAAAGACAGCTGTCTGAAGCTCAACCCTCAAGACCAGCGTCATGCTCGACCTTTCTTCCTTGTTTTGTTTCTCTAATAGCGATGGCCTCGAACCGCTCCAAGCAATGCCCTCCAACTCCAACCTAATTAATAGCGATGGCCTCCCCCGAAAGGCAGCCAAAAGCAGTGGGTGAGTGAGCATCGGAGCGTCGCGAGGCGCTTTCTCCAGTCCTCCAGTTTCTGCACGTCTGGGACTGAGGGAGAGCGAGAGCGCGGAAGACGATCCTGCAATCTCTGATGTGCTAAAGCTGCTCCGCGCTGGGACCCTCCGTTGAGGTTCGGTCTTTGGGGTGCCTTGGGTCTTGGGTGAGTGTCGCTTTGAGGTGCTTGGATTGGAGCCGTGTTCAAAGGTAATCGAACGTACCTTTAAACACATGTCCAAATTTACGCGACTTTAAACACAATTGTCAGTGGAGTTCTGCAGACGCATTTCACTCAAGCTCTGTACACCTCTTCTCAGGCAGGAAGAAGACCTCTGCTACGTGGTATGTATGGACAGAATCAAAAACCGTCTCGAACCATCAGGCCTACACTCATGGGCGTGAGCACACGGTCAAAGCTGCGCGGCGGACCGTCAAATCCTGGCCAAACCGCTGCACGAACTCGGTCCACAAATTGCGACATGTCATGTCGTGCCAAAGGATTTCCATCGAGCCAAGCGAAACGGTTTCCCTTCGCCTAGCAGCTATCTGTATCTAACAACTCCTCACGCCAAATCGCTTCAGGAAGTGCAACCTCTCTAAGTCGGAGTGATGTTGCGTTCGACTCACCCGACCTGAACAACACTACTATCTTGCGGGGGTGGCCTGACCCCCGCGGAACAAAAAGGACGCCCGACGGCCGACCTGGGATGCCGAAGTCATGCTTTGGGCTCGAAAGTGACTCAGATCCTGCCCGTGTGATGGCCGGCTCTCTGTCTTTGGTGATGCAGGGTTGTTCCAAGAATAAACACATGTCCAAATCCCACGAGTATAGTGCCTTTGTTAACCATTGCCACTGCCAAGTTCATGTGTACATTGAATTCATGACCAGTTCGGACTTTCTGTGGCGGAATGAACACCACTGATTTGAGCGTGTTTTTTTGCAAAAATCATCTCGCGAAAAAGGCTAGACACCAAGCAACGAAAAATGAATATGTGGATCCTACTTATACGCCATATACACATGCACCATATAACTATACCTTCAACCTCACTTACCTACCTTTTCCTAGGTAACCAGCTTTTGACTTCCAAGTTGCTGAAATACCAGGTATGCTTGAAAAAACCAGGTAATTTGGCTCTTGCCATCAAACTATCACACACCCATTCCCTGAAAAAACGGACTGCATGCCTTTTCCAGCTGAGCTCACCCACGGATCATCCTTGCATCAACCCACTTGACATACGACTGGATAAGATATCGCTGCAATGTCCGGAGCATGGTAGATTTAATGCTCACCCTCCTGTTGAGCCTAGAAGCTCTTCCCACTATATCCTCGTGCTGCTGACAGGCCGTCAGCAGCGGACTGAACGCAAAACCAACACGCCTTGCATCAGAGTCAAGCTGGATGACCTGGTGGTGCATGGCATGGAGTTTTGTGTATAGTGGAAACAAGAACGGTTTCCCTGCATGGTAGTGGACTGTGGCCAGCTTGTAGTATATTTGCAAAAAGGTTGCTCCAAGCTTTGAAACACGCACCGCCACGACTTTGGGCAACATTGCTGGAGACTCGTAGAGAGTAGAGAACATCACATTGGCACACACCGCGGCTCTAGAAGCCTTTGCCAAAAGTCCCTCAGAATCTGGAGGCAAGCAAGAGATCAAATGGGGAAGCCACAGCAACAAGCTGGTTGTCACTGCCCCCTTGGACCAACAGCCGACTGCTCCGGTGTAGTCGTTGTACGATACCAAGTAAGCAGAAATTTGTCTCACAATGGCCGGCCTGTGATTTGCTTTGCAAAATCTGAAGTAGTGTTCCGTGAGCCATTCCCACTTCTCCGGAAGTGTAGCAACTGGGACTTGGGGCAAGCACACTTGAATGACTGAGCTCGCAAAGGCCTTGCCAACGCCCAAATGAAATCCATGCCACAAATCTGGCATGAAAAAGCTGCCAGGATTGGAGATGTCATGTGGCAAGAAGCGAATGTGCACTGGCCGTTTGTCCCACGGCTCAAGCACCCCAACTGTGGACAACCAACGAGGTTGAAAAGTTGTAATCTCTTCGCTTGGAAAATTTTCCCGACCTGCAAGACACAAGTGGCACACTCCTCGCGGCTTTTTTGCTTCAGCACCTCGTTTCACACTGGTATTGAATGCTCGGTTCAGTCTTCCAACTTTTTGAAGGTATGGCCAATCACCCTTGACCCCGATGCAACAAACACGGAAGACATTTCCATGCCTGTCGCGAATGCCATCTTCCAACAACCGCTTCAAATCAAGTGTGAGCTCTTCCATCGCCGCGTGGAAGACGTCAGAGTCTTGTTCATACAGAACTTTCGGGATCACACTCGTGATGAAGCGGTTCGTGAAAGTGTGGCCTGCAAAGTTCACTTCCAAATGTGGAAGTTCATCCCCATTTGCCGCACGCTTGGTCCCACGTTTCTTGAGTCTGGCCTCATCAAATCCATAGCCCAGCACGGACTGAACAGCAGTGATCATAATACCGTTTTTCTTCAGCGTTCGTCCTTCATCTCCATGTGTGAAAATTGCGCATGTGCGCTCTAGTTCCTGCTCTGAAAAACCCATGGTGAAAAGGCTAAAGTCTGGCTGCAAAGCTTCGAACTGCTTCCAAAACTTTCCCCAGACCTCAGGGGCCAAATGCTGTTTCTCAAAATCCAAACCCGCAAGCCGGTACCAAAGCCCGTGGTCCAGCAGGTATTTGAACCATGTGGTTGGAGGAATCCATGGGACCTCTGTCCCCTTTGCAATCATGCTACTAATCTCAACATCCAGCTTGGTCCCTTGCTCTGAAACCACCTTCTGCGTGCCACGCTCAGAATTTTTGAGGGATATGGAAGCCCATGAAAGAACACCAGATTTGCCAGTCGCTTGGATTCCAAATTCTTTGGCCACCGCCCTGGCAGTGTTGATCTGAGACGAGCAAGTGGCCTCGGAAGACTGGCGCCAGGCATAAACACTCAATTGCGCTGTTACCAAAAGAATCTTCCCTGTACCATTTTTGCCTCGCCCCATCTAACCCCTGAAGCTCTAAAATAGGTTGATGCAGGGAACCAAATTCATAGACTTTGTTTGATGTGTGTAACATAGGATTTGCTGGCACTTACAGCAAGGTGCCGTGGACATGAAAGACGCCTCCAGAAAAGGCTTACTACCATGTTCACAAACCAACCCAATACTTTCCAAAACGCCCTCAAGTCAATGGAGCATTGCACAGTCCTATATAGCAGGACCTACTCAGGTTCATGCAGTAGGTCTCTCATTGAACATCGTTTGTCGGCGCGTGTTTCGCAGCACATCAGGGACAGGTAACAATAGTGAGAGGTAAACTCAGAATGCTTTTACAATTTGCACTTTCTCACGTCACCAAAGGTTTCAATCCAATGATACTTAGATGTGTTCACGTGCCATGAACTTGGCATCCCCGACTTGCAGCGGCATGGAACATATAATATAGTTTCTTGAAGGTTCCAGGGTACTTGTCAAAACAGAGCAGGCAAGTCCACGCGTGGTTAGCTGCGTGTGCAGCCATGGTGATTTGGTACTGCAGGATTCTCTTGCGCACCCTTGCTGAATTAAACAGTGTGAGGTCCGAGCACCACATGCATATAGTACATAAATAACGACTTGTATTTCGTGTTTGGGACCTTGCTGTTTTTGTGATTCTGAATTCTGGGCTCTGACTTTCCTCTCACCGCGTGGCACTCGTGAGCTCTGAGGTAGCCACTCCTTCACCGACATTTGCTGCCAGCCTCCTCGCAGTTGGCCCTGGACCTGGCTAGGAGCTCTGGTTGGCAAGAGGAAGAAACCTCATTTCGGGGAATGAGACGAAAGGCTTTGAGTTGAAGGTCTTGGAGTTTTTTCCCTGCCGATTGCAGCTCAGTCTGGCTGCAGTAAATGTTCCAGGACATTTCAAATTACAAATTTGTTCACCGGGTCTGCCAAGCTCACACCTCCAGAACCATCACTAAAGGAAGCTCGATGATCATTTTGGTTAAGATCAATTCAGTACTCACCATCAAGCTAAGAAGCGTTGCACAGACCCAATACCCAGACTTGGTTTCTTCGACCATGATTTGCGAGTTCGCAAATCCTAACATCAAAATGCCGTGTTGAACAACACGTCCCAGACAGACCAATCGGCGTCGATCTGTCAAACCCCATCCAGCTTCACTCAGTCTTGTTCCTTTTCGATCTTGGCAAAATGCCGTTTTGCATTCCTGGGCTGTGGAAGAACAAAGCGGGAGTTCCAAAGGTATTCCAATGAGAAGGACAGACAACAACCCATGAAACTGCCAGCAACTAAGGATAAATTGATCAATGTGCCGGATCCGTACTTCATTCTGGGCCACCTTTGTGCACCTGAGCTGTGCGTCTCAGCGGCAGGAGGGAACGGTGGGGAAAAACACCGCTTGAGAATTTGTGCAACCACTGCATCACCAACAAAGTAAGAAGGCACACGAAGGTTGCGTGCTTCACCATGTTGTCGGATGCCTTCTTCCACCTTGGTTGTTTGAGACCATCATGGACTGCTGTGTTAGTGTGCATTGTTTTTGCTTTACTTTGACTGAGCCTGCAAATGAGCTACTCTTGACTGAATTGTTGAACTTCCCCATTGGCCAAACATTCGGAGAGCTTCAAGTAGACTTGATCCAAGGTAGCCAAGTCAGTTTGGATTTGTGCAACCGACCTGGACCACTGGAAAATGCAAGTGGGGCTTCTACTATTACCTTTTTGAACAGCACTTGGAAAGCATGAACATCTAGTAACTTTAAGTGAAAGGCCTGCACGCCAGTTGATCTGAAGCGTGGTTACGCTTGAGATCAGTGCTCAAAGATCGGAGTTTGGCCATCCTTGTGAGAACGCTGTCGCAGAACTTCTTGAAATCGTCCTTTGCAGACAACGCCTGCCAAGGGCAGCATATAGTAGAACAAAACCCTTCAACAGAGACGGCTCGAAAGGTGTGATGTGAACTCCATTGGGTTTTGCTTGCTTTTGGGAACATATGTAACCTTTGTCCAACTTGGTGGCCTGGGACTCTTGCTCACACTCTTCACCACCACGTGCTGCGAAGCGCGTATTCAAGGCATCGACCGCGCTCGTATCCACAGCATCAAAGTCCGGTTCCGTGTCCTGCACACACACACACACTAGGTCTGTTAATATATGCATTCATGCAAGGCACAAAGAGGTAACTTATCACCTGCTTAGTGAACATAAGAACACAATCCTGCACGGTGCGCTGGGTAGAACTTCGGCGCTCTTCGTTAGTGACCTCCTGCTCTTTCTCAGCACCTTCGCGAACACAGATGCAGTACTCATCCTCGCCACTGTACTTGTTTTTCCTGGCAGCAGTCCAGAACACATTCTTTGATAAGCCCAAATTGTATCAAGACCGGTTGGAAAAACCTTCCAATCCAGATTTATAAGTCAAAACCACTGAACTGCATGTTCCAAAATGTCGGCAAAGGAAAGGCGTCTTGGGTTCTTTGCCTGTGCAGTGAGGGATCGCGACTGCAAACACGGATAGCTCCTTCGACCCTCTTCCTGAGCGGCGATGCAGGTGGTATACATGCATGTCCAATAGGTGTGTTTTTAAAATAACCTATAGTCCAACAATATTATGGTTCATGCCGCAAAGGTTCACATTCCATCGCAAAACCTTGATCATATCATCCTTTGTGTACCATCCTTCTTCAATTTTGTTGCGAGCAATGTCTTTCTTGGTGAA